CGTGCCCCCGAAAGAAAAAATCCTTAAAAAAAAAAAAAAAAAAAAAAGTGACCGCGTGGGACCTTCCGCAGGTTGCGACATGACACGGTGGTGCCAGACACTGTCTTCCTTATCGTAGTCTCAGCGCGGTGGATATGGTGTCGGTAGACTGCGAGGAGGGGACGATCCCAAGTCTGTCTCTAGTGTGGAATGGCCAGGGGTTAGTGGTTTTCACTCCCAATGCCACTTAACACCAAGTTGTTCAAAGCTGGGTCCTAAGCTATGTCTGTGAATTTGCCCTTGTGTCTGATGTTTAAGTCACTGGAAAATATGAGACCAAGATACCATGAAGACGTAGCTGTCACTTGAGGATCAGTTTTTGTTATTTCTGAATTTGGAAAAAGAAGTATCTTACAAAGAGTCATGATTGTTCTCAGGGATTGTCTTGAGCAGCTACAAGAGTTTAGCACACGGCAGATAAACATGAGTACATGTAACACTGCACGTGTGGTCTGCGTGGTGAAACTGCGCGGCCGCATAACTGAAATCTCTGCGTAACTGAAATCTGGGAAATGTGCATATATTGACATCAGGAACTGGCTAGCTTCATTGGCTTGTAATTTGAAAATTAAGAAAAATGATTTATTATTATTTGAAAAAGCATTGCTATAGGGCATGTGCATTCACCAGAGAGAGGTGAGGGAGAGTGAGCGTGAGAGAGAGAGCGAGCGAGCCGTGAAGTTTGGGACTCAAACCGCGGTTGGCCATGTGCAAGCCCAGCACCTTAACCACTACCCCACCTGCTCGCCCCTGGAATTTGAAATTTAAGCTACTCATTTCATCTGTAAAAATGATGGCATATTTGTGGTGGACAGTGATAACTTAAAACATTCTATTTATAAAAATGAATGGGTCATTTAACGTCCTCTGCTTCTCCTGTAGGCCGCGACCTGATCTGTATCCAGTCCGTGGACGGGATGCTGATGGTGTTCGAGCAGGAGAGCTACGCGTTCGGGAGGTTCCTTCCCGGCGCGCTGCTGCCCGGCCCTCTGGCCTACAGCCCCCGCACAGACGCCTTCATCACTGTCTCCTCCTGCCGGCAAGTGGAGAGTTACAAGTGAGCGTGGGGCCACGTTCCCGGGACCCTGACCGTCTGCTGTGCTGTCGCTGATTAACCCTTTTCTGCAAAGGGGAAGGCTTAGGGATGGACAGGCGTTGCTTCCCTGAAAAACTGTAGCAGCTGGCTTAGGGCCTGCTGTGTGTCTGGGAAACGCTCCAGGAGGCAGGGAGGGGCAGCCACCGGAGGGGGTAGAGAGCCCTGGGCCCAGCAGAACCAGCGGGTGCCCGAGCACGCAGGAGCTGAGTGATGGCGTCGCGCAGCACGACCCGGCCCTGCACTCAGGTCCCAAGAAGATGAGTGAATTATGAAGCTGCCACTGGTCATAAATAAAATACTGTATTTATGTTGAGAGGTGGAGAAAAATACCTGTATGATTTACTCAAGTCTGCCCAAACTGAAACAGTAGCTAAGAGACTGACTTTACAGCCTTCAGCTTGGTGCGCCCCTCGGCCCCGCTGTGTGACGCTGCTGCAGGGTCATGGGGGTCTGAACGCTCTTCGCTCGCTGCGAAATCTGCAATCTGCGGTGCGCCGCAGCTAACATGGGAGCCGACCACGCGCCCCTGGTGTGCGCGATTCAGCAGTGCTGCGTGCTAGCACACGTTTGCGATGCCCGCCTCTGTGCAGGATGGGAAGACGCTCGCCTTGTCCATCCCGTGGGTCTGTAATGCAGAAAGCAGAGAGAATCGTGGGGAGTGTTCCTAACATGGAGTGGCGTCTCATACGTGTGTGCTTGCGAGTTCAGTAAGTTATGACAAATGAGCGTTACTGGTGCGAGTTGGTACGGGACAGTGTGGAAATGGCAGGTGTGCTCTCAAGGCTTCATGAAATCTAGAATCAATTAATAGAATGTAATCAGTTATTAGAACAGGCTTTTGAGACATAACTCGTTTTCATTTTTTGGAGACGTTTTTGCTATAGGGCGCGTGCGCTCACCAGACAGACGGAGAGAGACATAGAGACAGAAAGCGAGAAATCACCCCCCAGGGGGGATGGTCACGCCGCAATCCCTTCTCCTCCATTCTCCTCTTGGGATCTTGGGCACGCACGCACACGCGCCTAGTGTGAGTTTTAAGCCACCGGGTCCGGGACGTGAACTGCAGTCGACTACGTGGGAGTCCAGCGACATAGCCGTTACTCTAACTGCTGGTTCCCTCGTTTTCATTTTTGATATTGGTATTTGATTCCTTTAAACCCAGCTCCGTTATGTCCAAATAGGAGCCAATGGGAGTGGTGAGTCGCAGACTTCAGTGTGCGTCGGCGTCACTGGGCAGCCTGTTACAGAGGCACGTTTGCAGAGCCCGGACCCCACCCCCAGACTTCGCTTTAACTAGGTTTGGGGATGAGACCCGGACACCGGCAGTGCGAATGACGGTCCAGGCCATCCGACGCCAGGACACGTGCTCTCTCTGCGATGGCCCATCCTGGGGGAGGCCCTGCTGCCCTGTGCTCGTGGCCTTGCGTGTCCACACCCTGGGCCATCGTTGGTCCTCTTTCCTTTCCTCTGCCCGTCACAGCCCGTCTGCAAACCCTGCTGTTTCTGTTTTTAATTCTCCTTATTGAGCCCTCTTTCCCATTCTCACTGGTTCAGGCTTTGTCTTTTCACTTGGGTTTTTGTATGTGTTTTAATTTAAAAAATTTAAATTCTGATGTACACTTTGAGGGTCCTGGCGATACAGGTTACAGCAGAGCTTTGCATAGAGTGGCGTGTGAGATGACCACGGGGACTTCTTGTGGAGGGTGGGGTGGGTGCTCCCCGAGGAGGGTCTCTGCTGAGAGTCTCGCTTTCTCTCCCTTCGCTAAGTGCCTCACCAGTCCCTGTGCAGTGCTCCTGACACATTGCTAAATAAACAGTGGTTTAGTGACATATTTAAAACTGTGCTCTGAAGGTCACTGACTGCTTTAGAAAGGATGCATGCTCTTCACCAGTTTAGGCTCTGGCCAGACTGAAAACTCACGCCTCCATGCACAGGAGCACTTTTCTCTCCGTCCTTGACGCTCACGTCCCCATGTCTGAGCTGCTTTTCCTTCCTCCTCTGGATGTGGAGGCCATGCCTAGACCCCTCCCTGCTCCCACCCTGTGAGCACGTCTCTGCCCAGCTCAGAGCGGTCTGTGGGCGCGTCTGGGAGTCCTGCTCATGCACTCGCTGACGGCCTCTATTTGCTCTGTTTTTCTCTTTGACAAGGCTCTGTGCTCCTTGATGGGAGGAATTTTGCATCCCCTGCAGGCCTAGCACTGTCTGGTCTGGCTGAGAGCAGGCGTATGATAAGAGCACGCTGAAGGAGGGAAAGGGTGTAAAGAAAGCTGCTGTTTCGTGCTGGGCGATTCTTTGACGTAGTGAGGACGGGAGAGCTGTGGTCGGAAGTGGGTAAGGGTGCTTCCGTCTCCCATCAGATTCTCGAGTTCCGTATCAAGGTTGCCAAATCTCCTGGTGCCCTTTGAGTATTTTCATTTCAAAAAGCTCTGACTCAGATGGCTCACCTCTGCGCTCTGTGACAGACACCCCGGTCCGCTGTGGGGTTGCCTGCTGCTGTTTCTGTGAGGTGACGCGGGGCGCCGCGTTCTCTGGTGAGGCTGTCCTGGAACTCCGGCCCCGGGAGCGCCTGTGGCTACTGTGTCCAAGAAGCGCCACCGCCCCGAGCTGTTTGCCCTTCGGCCCGTTCTGCTCGCAGAGACTCGCGTGACACTTTCGTAAAATCCGGTTACACCGATAGGCTCTCAGCAGTCCCCACAGGAGATCTCATCCCCCAGCTTGTCACTGAACACTCAAGTGGTAAGAAAAGAAGTGTTTTTTTTTTTTTAAGAGAGAGATTTTTGCCATAGGGCACATGGGCTCTCTGGC